AAGTATCTTCATTTGACACGATACAAAAACAATATTATTTTTCTAATGCGACAAGCGCTAGCATGCGATTATTATGCTACTAAAATTTTATATTATTTTTTGAGCATCTTAACGACTCCAACTATGAAAGCTCAAAACTATAAAGTTGTAGGTCTCATTGAGAACTACAGCTTTGATGTAAAATGTATTTTCACTTTACACGGTACAAAAAATATATTATTTGTCTAATGCGACAAGCGCTAGTACGCGGTTATTATGCTCCTAAAACTTTATATTTGAGCATCTTAACTTCCTCAAATGAAAAAACTCGAAACTATAAAGTTGTAGATCTCATGGAGAGCTACAATTTTTATATAAATTTCATCTTCATCCGACGTCGTATCAAAGAGTTATAATTTTTCAAAGGTTCGGTCTTGTCACGTCACTCCTGATGACCTGAGGGAACAATGTTGTCACGCCAGCAGGAGTGGCGTGACAACATTTTCCACGTGGGAGACGTCGTCTAACGTGGCGAATGTTGCCGCGCCAATATATGGCGCGACAACGGTATTTGGTCACGCTGGCACGATCAAAAGGGTTAGATCTGTAAAATTTATCTAGGAACGATTAATATTGAAATATTAAATAAAAAGTACTAAAAATAAAAAATTCTGATGCGACAGGGACTGAACTTGAATCCCTTGTTGCAGGAAACCCACTAACCGTGAATGACACAAGTTGAGATGAGAGTGCTGTTATGGTCTTTTAAGTTGCCTTCTCCTTTTTCATTTATTTCTTCCGAATTTAGTGGGGCGACATCAAGAATGCGCTGTGGCGTTTGGGTAAGGGAGGGTTTTAGTCATCAAGGGTCTCTTTGATTTGAATCCTAGGCTAGACAACTTTCACCAGCTAGTAGACATCCAAAATCCAACGTCTTAGACCGTCTCTAACAACCGTTATCCAAAATACAAGACCTATTTCACGTTTGGGTAGTGCTATAGGCAAATGTTTCAATACCTTTTTTTTCTTCTTCAACAATAAAACCTAAAAGAGAACCCTTTCTGCAAATAGGTCTCCAGTAGTGAGGATACTTAGATTTGAGTTATACCTCTCCTGACACCTAAATGGGTCTTCCATATATGTACTCTATTGAAGGCTATAGGTATTGCGTTGGAGACCTATTTTAGATTTGGGTCTTCTAATGGGTATTCTGTTGGAGACTGCCTGAAAAGTGAAAATGCTTTTCTCCTAGATTTGCCTGGTGTCAAACCAGACAGCCCAATAACATGGGCCTAGTTGTAAAATGCATATTTTGAGGATAAATCACAAGTTACCAAAATATAGGCATATAAGTAATAAGTAACTGTCCCTTCTCCTGCTTTTTTTTTTGTTTCTTTTCTTCATTTTCTGGGTCTACGCGTCGGAGTCTTGGTTCTTTGTCCTCTCTGCTGCATTATTCGCACTTTGCTTGGTAGCGATTGGAGTTCTGGTTAGTCACGGGTGACTAGGCAGCAAATGAGTGGGTCCTGTGGGCTACACACACATAAAGCAAACAAAATGAGTGTGTTCCAACAATTATTGTACGATGTACATGAGGCTCGGACAGAAACTGCTGGCTCGTGATGCCTTCTGTCAAAACTGCTGGCTCGTGATGCCTTCTGTCAAGATGGACCAGGTATTCTGTATCTCAATAGATCTTTGTTTAGATTAGTTTTACCGCGGCCAGTCTTAGTGAAAGGTATTATATCCCAATTTCCAAGTCTTAGAAACTGATAATAACTAGATAATTTCCCACGTGTTGCTGCGGGAATTTGGTACACCAAATTTTAGATGTGTATATGATGAATGAAGCAAGGGTATAGTACGACATTTGATTAGGATAATAGAGTATGATAGAAATATTAGGGGGTGAGATGGGAAAATTTTGTAGGCTAACAGCAGTAACATATATGTAATCAATAAATTTGCTGATGAAATTAGACAACCCAGCCGCTTTGATATAATCCATGTCAAGACAATGACACTCAAAATACAAACGTCTGGAAAGAACCTTACATTCAGATTGAACAAAAATAAGATACTCTCGGTGCTAGTGAGAAATTGTTTGAATATGGACAGTTAAAACATTGACATGCACCATGATCAAATGCACTTCACCAGCTAACTCGTTTATGATTAAATCTGGCCAACGTGCAGATGAGATTCAGGTGGTGTTTAAATCCAGGGGCTAAAGTTTAGGGGGTGTCACATCAGGTGTCATATGGGGGTATCACATAGGAGTGTTCGGATAGTAATAATAAAATAAATTATAGAAGTCCTCAGGAATCCGCGAGAAGAATTTATTAAGCCTAATCAATCCATCATTAGCACTTATTTACTGTAGCACTATGTTATCAAATAACGGACTAAATAGACTTAAAAAATTCGTCTCGCAAAGTAGTCGCAATCTGTGTAATTAATTATTTTTTAATCTATATTTAATACTCCATGCATATATCAAACATCCGATGTGATAGGGACTAAACTTTATAGGAGAAACTAAACAAGGTCTCGGATGCAAAATATGGAATACATGTTCACAAATAATTTATTTGTTTGGGTCATCTTGTACGTAGTTCCTGCTCACTCTAGCAAGTCATCTAAGTGAACATGTAGAGCTACTGAAATAGTGATGGCCTTTGAGCAGCAAGAACATGTGCTCCCTGTCGAGCAGCAACAGTAGCACGCAGAACGGTGACGAGGCCTTGTGCCCTTGTGCATGGTCAGTGGTCACCATCGTGCCCCAGAGGCTCATGGGGGTGAAGGCTTCCTGACACATATAGTCCATGACGTGGAGCCTGTTCGATTGACGGGTAGATCTCGTGTATGATCGTAAATTTCTAACCAGGATAGTATTTTTCTCTCACATCAAATCAGACAGCGATCGGCCACGATCCTCCAGCAGAGCCGCAGGCCACTGTAGGTGTAGTGGTCGATGGGGCAGTCGTGCGATGCGTGGGGCAGGACTCCTCGTGGACCCGGTACAGCTTTAGGACTCGCCAAGTTGCCACTCGAGCGGAGGTAACATTTTGCACATCCAGAATGTCCTTCATTTATGCCTAGGCAAAGCATTTTATAGAAGATAGAAGATAAAAATAAAATAGTGCCTCTATCAATGCACAGTATCATAACACACTGTGTTATAAAACTGTGCATTGATAGAGACACTATTTTATTTTTATCGGTTTCTAAGACTCTTCACGTAATCACGTCTCGGAAATTGAGATATAATTCCTTTCACTGAGACCGGCTGCGGTAAAACTAATCTAACCAAAGATCTATTGAGATAGAGAATACCTGGTCCATCTTGACACAAGGCATCACGAGCCAGTAGCTGTCACGGCCTCATGTATATCGTACAATAATTGTTGGAACACACTCATTTTGTTTGCTTTATGTGTGTCTAGCCCACGGGACTCACTCATTTGTTGCCTAGGTCTTGTTTAGATAGGTGTTAGGAATCAGTATTTGGTACTGTAGCATTTTCGTTTGTATTTGATAATTATTGTCCAATCATGACCTAACTAGGCTCAAAAGATTCGTCTCGTAATTTACAATCAAACTGTGTAATTAGCTATTTTTTATCTACATTTAATACTTCATACATGTGTCCAAAGATTTGATGTGACGAAGAGAGAATGAAAAAACTTGCAATCTAAACAAGGGACCCGTGACTAACCAGAACTCCAATGGCTACCGAACAAAGTGCGAATAATGCAGCAGAGAGGACAAAGAACCAAGACTCAGACGCATGAATTGTGATTTATCCCCATGAATTGTGACTATGTTAAATCACTATTTTTTTTTGAGATATCGTCCTATTTAATATTCATGAAACTCACATAACCCTCACCCTAAAATTGGCCTAAGAAAATGACATAAGTGATTCTATAAAATGATGTCTTTGATAAAGGGTAGAGTACCTTTGATAAAGGGGCAAAGTAGAAAGTTGCTAATAGTTATGGTGTTACCTCCAATAGTTCCCAAAATAATATTTGGTAAATCAATGAGTTTTCCAATTTGCTAAAAAGTGTGGGAGCACATTTGTTGGGTTACTCGAGCAGTTTCTAAAGATATAGAAGACAAGTTTGCATCAGGAATCCCAAACTATTTATAAGTCACCCTAACCACTTTTTATTTTGTTTTTCTCTCTTATATATTTGCATTGCGAACTCTGTCTTACTATTTATTCTTTCCACGTCCTTTCACCTCCAGATTGGCCGATATGCATGCGTATATTTTTGTGCCACTGGATAGTTTTTACTAAGTGCGTAAAGATTGGGAGTTGAGATAGGGAGTTGTTGGAGATCAATTTTTTCAGTCTTGTCAAAAAAAAATCTAGATTGAGAGTGGGTTCGGGAAACTCTTAGATATGCTCTTAAATAGACTTTTTTCTATATAAGTTGAAAACTGGCACTAGTATTGTACCATCAACAGCAAAAAGTAGCAGAAAACACAGATAGAGTTTGGTGGAGTTCAGAGCCACTATTCGGCTGGTATTAAAGTCGGCTAATAAGTCGGTTGAAGCTGTTTTGTTATGAGAGAAAAATTTTGTAGATTCTAGCTGATAAATCGGCTGATAAGTTCAAGCGAACATGCCGATTGTTTTTAGGGTGTATTTGAGACTATTCTGCTGAACCAATCTTTAAGTAGCTCCACTTTGGAGTTTCTAAATATGTTTGGCATGCCGTGTGGCTCTAGCTCTAGGAAAGATTTATTTCTCGAGTGCCTCTCGAGGAGTTCAAAAAACATACACTCGATATTCAACTTCACCTTTTCTTAGAGTTTTTGGAAAGTTAGACTTACTTGGCTAGATCTGGGATTAGACAGTACAGTTAAAAAAAGTTGGAGGGGAGGGGAGCAGCCCTTGCTCTCTTCCGCTCTCGATCAGATTTGCATCTGCGGTGTAAATCCAAGACTAGAAGGTGTGGAGTAGATAACCACGGCTGTTATAGATGCTTTGGTTTCTTTTTGCATGAGAGATGGAAGGTCCGATGCTCAGTTCTTCGCTGGGCGCTATGGGCTCCCTTCTTTGGAAGCTCCGGTCACTGCTGGTCTCTCCAGATGATCAGCTGCCAGAGCCACTGAAGCTACACAAGGAGAAGCTCGAGCTCCTCAAACAAGATCTCGAAGAAATAAACACCTTCCTCGTGAATCTGTCAAGGGTGGAAGCTCCCAACATGATGGTGAAGCACTGGATGAACGAGGTGCGTGATCTGTCGTACGATATTGAGGATTATATTGACAAGACGATGCACCCCGGCCCCAATTCCAGTGAAGAGTCCCGCCCTGAGCCTGAGGTCGAAGAACTAAGCACTCTTGTGAAGCAGGCCAAGGACGCCCACGAACGACACAACAGGTACGATCTTGGGCGTTGGGCATCAAATCCTAGATTTGTGGTCGACGGTGGAAGTGGGCAAGGCTGGGTTCCAAGGTTCGACAGGGACGCCACAGATCTTGTTGGTATAGATGATTCCAAGGCTGAAATTATCAAGAGGCTTAACATTGACGCCGAACAGAGGCTAGTAATATGCATACAAGGATCCCCAGGTGTTGGTAAGACTACACTTGCCAAACAAGTGTACCGTGAAATGGAAGGACAGTTCGAGTGTCAAGCTTTTGTTCGAGCCTCAAAGATGCCTGATACAAGGAGGCTTCTCAGTAACATAATCTCCCAAATCCTGCCCCGCCATCAAGGACCCCCTCATGGTCTCCCCGTGCAAGAGCTCATTGACAGCCTAAGAAAACATCTCCAACAGAAGAGGTATATAACTAGTACATATATGTTAAGGAGGTGCTCCCTCCTTTTTGAAAAGTATGTGCAGTATTACAAATTGTAGGCTCATTGAAATCTACAGAAAATTCTTGAAACGAAGATCTTGATATACTAGTCAATTTACATGGCTAAGTTTCGATTTCAAGTTTCTGTTTATTATGAGTAGCGATAACGACAAAATCTGACAAATCATAAATTATAAGGAACAGGGAAAATAATAAAATTAGATTACTGACAAGAACCCTATCAATTTTGTTTCTTCTAATACAGTGGAGTTTGAAGTTCAAACTTTGAATCGTGATAAAAGCATGTACCAATATTTTCGAGCTTACAAACTCAAAGCAGGCATGCAAGTTTGTCAAACCAAATAAGAAGAATTTAGAACTATCAGGTAAACTAGAAAATCTAATACAAAATATAATCATTCCATTCCATATTTTCAACTTTAAATTTTCCATTGTCATGCTTTTGTAATTGTTGTATTTCACCTATTCTTGCACAGAATATTTATAACATTTTAAATCATTTGGCAGGTATCTCATTGTAATTGATGGTTTGTGGGAAACAACATCATGGGATATTGTTAACAGCGCATTTCCTGATGACACTAATTGTAGCAAAATATTAATAACTACAGATATTGAAGAAGTAGCTTTGGAGTGCTGTGATTATGAATCTGATGCTATTTTTAAGATGGAGCCACTTGGTGGAAATCATTCCACAGAATTGTTCTTCAATAGAGTGTTTGGATTTAAGCACGAGTGCTCTAAACAATTGAAGGAAAGCTCTGAGGAAATTATAAGAACATGTGGTGGTCTGCCACTCGGAATAATTAGCATAGCTAGCATTTTAGCAATCCAACCAGATAACTTAGAGTTGTGGCGCCATGTCAAAGAAGCATTATTTTCCAGATTGAGATATAATCTTACTTCTGAAGTCATGCTGAGAGAAATAGTAGGTCTGAGCTGCAATAGTCTTCCTCGCCATTTGAAGACATGCTTACTATATCTTAGTATGTATCCTGAGGGTTATACATTCTTGAAGGCTGACTTGGTGAAACAATGGAGTGCCGAAGGTTTTATCATTGCAGTAGAAGAGAAAAAATGTGATGAAGTTGCAGAATGCTATTTTGATGAGCTTACCTGCAGGGGACTGATACAACCCAATCATACCAATATCTCAGATGAGGTGACTTCGTATACACTGCACTCCACTGTATTTGAAGTTATTAGGAGCATGTCCATAGAAGAGAACTTCAGCACTGTGATAGACTACTCCAATACCATCTCAGAGCTTTCTGTAAAGGTTCGACGACTATCTCTCAGATTCAGTAGTGCCAAATATGCAACGAAACCAGAAAGCATTACACTATCCCCTGTGCGGTCACTTATCTTTTATGGACTTGTTGAGTGCCTCCCTTCGATTATGGAGTTTGAGGTACTTCGAGTTCTTATTCTTGATGTTTGGGGTGACCATGACCAAGAGGAGTTAGACCTCAGTGGCATCGACAGACTGTTTCAGCTGAGGTACATGCGGATTACATCTAACATCACTGTGAAACTACCAGCCAGGATGATTGGACTGACATATTTGCAAACACTGGAAATTTATGCAAGAGTAACTTCTGTTCCATCAGATATTGTACATCTCCCTAGATTGGTGCACCTCTGTGTAGGTGGTCAGATAAATCTGTGCAATGGTATTGGTCACATGGGATCTCTACGCACTCTTCAGTCTTTTGACCTCAGCAGTAACCCTGAAGATAATGTATGGCAACTTGGTGGGATGACAGACCTCCATGATCTTCATGTCATTAGTTCTACAGAAATGTCTGATCCTCTGAAGGGGAAATTGGTAGCTTTCGTTTCTTCCCTTGAGAAACTTGGCAATTTAAAATCTATAATTCTTGCTCCTGCTCCTGCTCCAGCTGCTTCTTGCACAAACATTTCCTTGGATTTCTCATGGCGGAGCATATCTCCTCTGTCCATCTTCATTCAGAGACTTGAGTTGTTGCCGCCCTTTTGCATCTTTTCAAGACTCCCCGTATGGATTGGACAGCTCCGGAAGCTAAGCATTTTGAAAATTGTTCTTAGGGAATTTACGACAGGTGATGTTGACAGCATCGCCAAGTTACAGGAACTCACCATTCTCTCTCTGTACGTCAGGCAACCAACAGCAGAACAGATTGTCTTCCATCGTGCAGCATTTCCTGTTCTAAAGTTTTTCAAATTCAGATGTGGCATTATGCGCATTGCTTTTCAGCCAGAAGCAATGCCTAGGCTTCGGAGTCTGAATCTTGAATTCAATGCCCACAGTGGAGAGCAAAATGGTAATATGCTTGCCGGCATTGAACACCTGTTAAACCTCCAAGAGATCACTGGCCGAATTGGGGCAGCACCGGGTGCAGAGGAATCCGACAGAATAGCTGTGGAATCTGTGTTCAAGGATGCCATTAGCAAGCATTCAAGACTTACAAACTTCAACCTACGAATTGTGGGTTTCTTTGACGAAGAGTACGTGCCTTTCTTCTCCTTGTAGTTTCACTGAAACGTTACAATAAACTGTTGCTAGCTACTTGATTGTGTCCTGGGCTGGTGTGTTTCCCTTAGCCTAAAGCAGTTTCCAAACTAGTTGAAGAAATTTTAAATGAGATTGCTATTCTTTCAGATTGTAGACTTTAATAACATCAAGATAAGAGGAGTGCCGAGGTTCAATACTTTATTTACTTGGTCAAGTTTAATCTGCTGGATTTAGTCATGGTTAAGATTTCTGGCGTGCATCAATTTTTATACAAGATCTGATAATGACTAGTTCTACATCTTTTATTTCTCAACACATACTAGATAGCGCTTTTAGGTGAAAAACTGTATGAAAAACAAATCTTTTAGGTGATGTTTACCTTTTTTCCTCTTATAATCTTAAAATGTAGCCGATCAGCTCATGTGATTGCAGGAGTAAACCACCTATTTGCTATGTTTTTGGTTATAGCGTTCTAGTTTGTATGGCTAAAATTTCTATTGAAGTTACTATCAATTCTAATTTCCATGACTAAACATAGACGTGATATGCAAATGTGATACATCTAATATAATACCCACTATCAAAATAAGAACACTAACATGAAACATAATATTAATGTATTGGGTATATGTTACACAATCTCTGCAGGTGGCATAAAAAAAGTGAGCTAGACGAGGTAGCTGCAGTTGTTGAAGAAGTGTCGCAATCCAACGATGCAAGTTCAACACGAAAACAAGTCTTCAGCGTGCCGTTCCAGGCGATCGCGGATCTGCAGAGCGGTGACGCGTCCGAGCACTCATTGAGCGGAATGTCGGACACGTCCGTCGTGACGGTCGAGGGTCTCTTGGCGCGGGCCGAGAATGCTGGCGGTGATGAGTTCGACAAAGACCAGCCGGATTCCAAGAGGTGAGTGCTTTGGTAGTTTGGTCACACAATATCCGTGCCAATTTGTTTCCGACTATTTGTTGCATTCTTGGAACGAACAAGCGGAAATCAATTGCTGTTGCTTTTATCAGGAGGAAAGACGACGGTGACGGTAAGGGGATCTCCATGTCTGGCAAGCTGACGGCGCGTGAGCCGAGGGTCGTTCTCCGAACCGTGAGCGATGCCTACATCTTTGATGACGGCTATCGGTGGAGGAAGCACGGGCAGAAGGATTTTAACGGAAATCCATTTCCCAGGTACGATTGAAAAAGAAATTAGTTCGGTCTCTGGGATGGAGGAAACGCCTATTGAAAGTGTGAACTTTGTACTCATCGTGGTTGTTGTCTTATGACTACAGGATCTACTACAAGTGTCAGACGGTAGGGTGCCCGGTCCGCAAGCATGTGCAGCGCGCGTCCGACGACCCGCGCACCGTGATCACCACGTACGAGGGCAAGCACAACCACGACGTGCCCGCCGTGCGCGGCAGCGCCGCACTCGCACTCTACAATCCCGCAGCACCGCCCGCGGACAGCGCCGTTCAGAACCTTGCCGTGGACAGCGCCACGCAGCCGACCGTGGTCGACCAAACGGCGCAACAGCAGATGTTCAGCGGCCAGCGCACGATCGGCTTCAGCACCGCGCCGGCGCGTAGCAGAGCGACGAGCGGCAGCTTCGTCCTCTCGTCGGGCTTGGACAACACGATGGGTTCGTATATGATCCAGCAGCAGGAGAGGCAGAACGCGTCGAGGGACAAGGAGGAGGAGCCCGCAGAGGACATGTTTTCCCCGCAGTCGACGGACTGATGGACTCCACAAATTGCACAAAAGTGTACAGGACCGTAGACATCTTAATCCTTGCTTAATTCGAAACAAGTATTTAGAGTGTAGACATCTTAATATTATTAGCTGCCTAGATATTAACTAAGGTCTCCTTTGGATATATCTGTTATAAAATATACGGACTTTATCCTATACGGAAAAGAGAAGGAAAAATCCTAATCATAATCCGTTTGTACGTGGGCTTTACATATATACATATATACATATATATATATATAGAGTTCTGCTAAGGTCTAAGAGTTTGATAAAAGCCCACGTACAAACGGATTATGATTAGGATTTTTCCTTCTCTTTTCCGTATAGGATAAAGTCCGTATATTTTATATGAGAGGAAGCTCAATGTTATAATCACTAATGTTGTGAAGAATAAATAATAGTCTCTGAGGCCGCCGCCCGGATCTCACCCTCCCCGTGCCCCAGCGCGAGGTCCCACCCTGCCGAGCGTCTCCGCTCCTGACGCCGCCGCGGCGCACCAGCAGCAGCCGCCCCCGCACGCGGAGCTGGAGCGCGTGCGCCGCGTCGGCAGCGGCGCCGGTGGGATGGTGTGGATGGTGCGGCACCGCGGCACGGGGCAGCTCTACGCGCTCAAGGTGCTCTACGGGAACCACGACAACGCGGTGCGGCGCCAAATCGCTCGTGAGATCGCCATCCTCCGCACCGCCGAACACCCGCCCGTGGTGCGCTGCCACGGCATGTACGAGCGCGGTGGGGAGCTGCAGATCCTGCTCGTGTACATGGACGGCGGCTCCCTCGACGGCCGCCGCATCGCCGCCGAGCCGTTCCTCGCCGACGTCGCGCGCCAGGTCCTGTCCGGAATCTCCTACCTCCACCACCGCCACATCGTGCACCGCGACATCAAGCCCTCCAACCTCCTCATCGACTCTGCGCGCCGCGTCAAGATCGCCGACTTTGGCGTCGGGCGCATCCTCAACCAGACCATGGACCCCTCGAACTCCTCCGTCGGCACCATCGCCTACATGAGCCCCGAGCGGATCAACACCGACCTCAAAGACGGCAGCTACCACGGCTACGCCGGTGACATCTGGAGCTTCGGCCTCGGCATTCTCGAGTTGTACCTGGGCAGGTTCCTCTTCGGGGAGAACCTCGGCAAGCAAGGGGACTGGGCCGCGCTCATGGTCGCCATCTGCTACTCCGATCCGCCTGAGCCACCGCCCACTGCCTCGCCTGAGTTCAGGGGATTCATTAGGTGCTGCCTGCAGAAGAATCCGGCCAAGCGGCTGACGGCGGGGCAGCTACTGCAGCACCCTTTTGTCGCCCGCCCGCAGCCGCAGCCCCTCGCTGCTCCTCCCCTGTCATGACCACCGTTTCGGATTGGGAGTAGAGTAAGGATCTCATCTCAGTTCGGCCTTCGCTGCAGGCAGTGTGGACTCCAATCCGCATTCCAGGTGTATCCTTGGATGGACGGAACTGATGTCTGAAGGGAATTGGCTGGCCAGTTTCGGTGGTGGTCTTTCCACCATCGTCGTCCTCATCCATCCATGGTTGCTGCTGCTGCAGTTAAGGAGGCCCCCCTTGATGTTCTTCAAACCAATTTTGAGTGTTGTATCCATCATCAATTCATCACCACGATCGTCCTCAACCAGCTCCTCGCTGCGATTAAGGTTCATTATCCTTCCTGTTGTTTGATGTTCTTTACTTCCAGCGATGATAGGATAACGAGAGGGAAAAAAAAGTGTGTACAAATGATTTTGTAAAAGATCATATCATATTTCAAGTACAGAGAGGTCCACTTCGTACCAATTTTCATTGTTCTAAAAAAAGGTTTGGTTAGAAACCTGAACTTTTCTTTTCTTTTTTATCTCCAATAATCTCCAATGTAGCAGAGCTGTCACACGAACAGGCAATTATGCTAGGCTGCTAGCATCTCTCTGATATTTTTGGCGCATAATTGGGTGACGATGATTGAACACATGATGACGATACATAATAGATCTTCCGTGCTGCTGCATGATAGGTTCTTGGATTCCTTTATCCGGATATATGATTGCACAGCGAATCTGGAAATGCGAATAGAACCAACATTAGGTCTTTTTTTTTCCTCCCCCTAGAGTTTACATCCTATCACATCAGATGCTTGAACACATGCATGGAGTTTAAATATAGACTAAAAAATAATTAATTACATAGTTTATGACTAATTTGCGAGACGGATCTTTTAAGTGTAATCAGTTCAAAGGAGCTAAGTTTGGGCTAGTTGGTTACTCCGACTCGGATTATGCGGGATGTAAGGTTGAAAGAAAGAGCATCTCGGGCACATGTCAATTGTTGGGAAGATCACTTGTTTCATGGTCATCAAAGAAGCAAAATAGTGTTGCATTATCAACCGCCGAAGCCGAATACATATCCACCGGTAGTTGTTGTGCACAAATACTTTGGATGAATGCCATTTTGAGTGACTTTGGAACCAAGTTCAAGAAAGTGCTATTGCTACGTGACAATGAGAGTGCAATCAAGTTAACCAACAATCCGATTCAACATGCAAGAACAAAGGTTTTGCAAGCCATTGGATGAGAAAAGATTTTGCAAGCTAAGGAATGAGTTGAACATATTAGATTTCTCAAATATGTGTTGATGCAACCCCACTCATATGACATGCCTCTTCTTCAAGCAATCCAAGGTAAAAATTGATTGGCTTGACATACATGCTTGCTAAGGACATGTTTAGTGCATCTAGTCATCTTTCATATTCAATAGGCTCATTCATGAAAATCAAATGAATTTGATGATTATATGGTACCACTATTGCTTCTATGCTTAAATTGGTCTAGTGGTAGCATATGACATGTTTGTGAGCTTAACCTAGTGTTTGATCTAGAAAATGAGCTCTAAGTGTTTAACTCAACATGATACAAGATAACCCTTATTTAGAGGTGTGAAGAAGCTTGTCCTTGGATCAAACCGAGTTAAATATCTTTTGTAAATAATCTAGATTGGATCAAATTTTGGAAAATGATCCTCACCCCATTGATTGACATTGCTAATCTCAACCTATCTACATTTTGAACCTTTGTGATCATTGATAACAAAGGGGAAGAAAAACAAAGATATTAAGTACATGGGGAGAAAAGCAAAGATATTAGTAGGAAAGAAATAAAGATATAAGTGATAGGGGGAAAACTTGACATAGGGAGAAAGATATGACAAAAAAAGGGATCAATTAAAACTTTGAGCACACAAGTAGGGGGTGCAAGCTCATAAACTTGTATGGTGCATTTGAATGTGCATTTCATATATTTGCTTGCATGGCACAAGTTTTAAATTTCAATATCCATGCTTGTGTGGTGTACGCTAGTTGTAGGTTTGAATGATAAAATAAAAATCTAGCATGCATAGGTTATCTAGTGATTTCATTTCCAAGTGTTTCCATGTGGTATCGAGCTAACATGGTGCTAAGGATGGTATAATGGTGCACTCCGATTGGTATCACGCTTCAAAGGTTTATTTTTTATACCTTAGCATCATTTGGTAGACATTGTCTCCTATATTTCGTATCAAAGCATATGTGCAAGCTTCAATCCAAACTCTTAGCACATATGTAGGGGGAGCAATTGCTACCATTTGGGGTTCATGAAACTTGTCCATATCCTTATACACATGGTAAATATGCTTGGGCAAGCAACATGAATTCGATTAAATTTCAATTCAATATCTTTGTATAAGGGTTGTCATCAATTACCAAAAAGGGGGAGATTGAAAGCTCTAGTTTGGTTTTGGTGAATTGATGAAATCCTAAGTGCTAACCTAGTTTATCAAGCGATCATGAGATAGGTAGCACATTCCAAGTGGTGATGAAAATGAAGATCATGACATGATGATGGTGATGCCATGGTGATGATCAAGTGCTTGGACTTGAAAAGAAGAAAGAGAAAAATAAAAGGCTCAAGGCAAAGGTATAAATGTAGGAGCCATTTTGTTTTGGTGATCGAGACACTTAGCGAGTGTGATCACATTTAGGATCGATAGCCGTACTATTAAGAGGGGTGAAACTCGTATCGGAATGCGTTTATCAAAATTCCACTAGATGCTCTAACTCATTGCATATGCATTTAGGATCTAGTGGAGTGCTAACACCCTTTGAAATGTTTGCGAAAATATGCTAACACATGTGCACAAGGTGATACACTTGGTGGTTGGCACATTTGAGCAAGGGTTAGGAACTTCACCGGCGGAGTGTCCGCCCGTAGAGTGTGGATAGTCCGACGGTGCCACCGGTGCCCTAGACAGAAAAGATGGAGGTCACTGTAAGTGACCGGACACTGGTCACATAGTGACCGGACGCTGGGTCCTGCGTCCGGTCAGTGGAAGCAGCGAAGACACTGGCGTCGGTCTCTAACCGGACGCTGGGTCACTTAACGACCAGACGCTTAAGGGCTACGTCTGGTGCTACTGAAATGGCAGTGCGCTGGGAGTCGCCGTGTGATCGGACGCTGGGAGTGTCCGGTCGAGCATGACCGGACGCGTCCGGTCATGAAATTTGGCGTTTGGATGCTTACTGGAAACGACCGGACGCTGACCTCAGCGTCCGGTCACTTTCTAACTGACGCGTTCGGTCATCACTTGGCTGTTGTGATCGGGCGATCAACGTTTGAGGCCGATGACACATGGCATGCATCGGGGGACCGGACGCTGAGGTCCAGTTAGCGTGTGAACCTTCAAGTGAGTGTATCGCCACAACGAGGAGTAGCTTGCCGGCTAAAAGCATCTAGGCCCCTTGTTGGGTTTCGGTGACTAATGACAATACAAGATTACTATGACTAACATGTGTTTTGCAGAGGCAATTAAATTAGGTCATGGTAATGGAGATCGATTGGGCAATCGAGGTGGTCATGCCCCTACGATGGAAATCGTTTCGGTTTTCAAAGGATGGACGACAAGGTTAAGGATAACTAGTTCTAAGTGTCGATTGGAGTTGGAGAGACACTTAGAGTAGTTTAGGACTTTGTTTTTCCTTTGGCCATACTATTAAGGGGGTATGGACATGTAGCTTGACCTAGGTGAGTCTAGTGAGTTAGGTGTGGTGCACACTTGTTAAAACTAGCACTAGGTAGCTCCTACATTTGCCTAAGATCCAATGGAGCAAACTTCATTCACATATGTTCGAGAGTTGGAAGTGAATGGATGGTCAAATACTGACCGGACGCTGGCGTCGGTGTGACCGGACGCTAGCCGCAGGGTCCGGTCAGTTCATTTGATCAAGAAATTGTGTTCGGTGCGACCGGACGCTGAGAGGCAGCGTCCGGTCGACTCCAGTAAGGTTCCAGAGAAGGAATTCTGCGACCGGACGCGTCCGATCAGTTCTAACCGGACCCTAGGGGTTCAGCGTCCGGTCGAGTATAGTAAGCATCTAGTGAGGGTTTAATGTGACCGGACGCGTCCGGTCAGTGGTGACCGGACCCTGCCAGCGTCCGGTCAACACTTAAACACTGGAATGCGGGTTAAACTGACCGGAGCGTCCGGTCAACATGACCGGAGCGTTCGGTCACCCCGTAGAAGCTCATAACGGTTCATTTTTCAGGCTGCCTTATAAATAGAAGCTCCACTCGTGTGTGGAGTCTCTTTTGCTCATTCCAACAGCTGAGAAACATGTTTGTGAGTGCCAAGAAGAGCATGGTCCTAGTGAGGTGATTGAGATTTGAGAATCCAAGAGAGTAGCCTCATTAGTGAATCAAGAGTAGCAAAGTGTGCATCCATCTTCTCATTAGGCTTTGCGTGGTCAAGTGAGAGTTCGTGCTTGTTACTCTTGGTGATCGCCATCATCTAGATGGCTTGGTGGTGATTGGGAGCTTGGTGATCACCCGGCGGAGCTTGTGGGTGACCCAACTCAAGTTGTGAGCGGCTTTGGGTGATTCGCCGCGACGGAGTGTCGAAGAATCAACCCGTAGAGAGCACTTGATCCTTGCGCGGATCAAGGGGGAGCTACACCCTTGCGCGGGTGCTCCAATGAGGACTAGTGGGGAGTGGCGACTCTCCGATACCTCGGCAAAACATCGCCGTGTTCCTCTCTCTCTATTTACTTTGAGCATTTACTTTGAGCATTTACTTTGAGTAATTCAATACTTGTTTTTACATTCATAGAATTGCCATGCTAAAGTAAGTTTGGAACATAGGTTGCAAGTCTGTTGTGCGTTAGTTTAATAGAAACACTTTTCTAGGCACAAGGGGTTAATTGGGCTAACCGTAGGATTTGATTATTGCAAGAAAATTTAGAATTAGCCCAATTCACCCCCCTCTTGGGCATCTTGATCCTTTCAATTGGTATCGGAGCCTCATGCTCACATTTTAAGCTTAATCGCTTTGA